TGGGTCGTAGGGAAGCTCCATGTTTAGCAGTTTGAGGAACCTCCAAACAGTTTTCCATAGTGGTTATACTAGTTTGCATTCCCACCAGCATGCACTTGGGACTTGTTAAGGGGTACAGATCGCAAGTCTTTGGGACTCTTTGGGACCCTGACGGAGCTCCTCCCGGAGGTGGCATCCTGGCTACCTACTTCCCCATTAAGAAGGCCAAGTTCTGGCTCTTGTGGGGGCAGGGTGCCGAGTCTACTCGTGAGAACCAGTCCTACTTGAATTCTTCATTCATTCACGATGGTCTAGTTTGGTTTATTTAACCTACAAATCCACTCGTTCAGCCACTAACTTATATTGAGGGTCTTCCACGTGTCTGTTCAGCAAAGAGCACAAACACGAACAAGGAGAGTCTGTGAGGGGAATAGGGCAAAGAAGGGAGGGTCGGGTTGCACTGGGGAACAATCAATTTGGTCAGGAGCCTTGGAAAACATGCAAAAAAGAAAAGGGTGTTCCTGGCTGAGGAACCAGCATGAACAAGTGCCTGACTGTGGAGAACAGGGTAGCAGAGAGCTGACATTCTTGGAGCTGGAAGCCAGAAAGAAGTTAGGATGACAAAGAGCCTGAGTGCCGAGTCAAGGGGCCTGCATGGCCCCAGGGCTGAGAAGGGAGGCTGTGCTGCTTGTGAGGAGATTGGTGTCCCCTATGGGTGCAACAGTCCAGCCAGGTCAGCTCCTGATCCTGAGGCATCCGTCTCAAGGGCCCCGGGAGAAGAAAGTCATTCATTGTTCCAAGTCTAGTCAAGCACAAGGGCTAGGGGTCTGGATAAGCAAGTGCATAGAAGATCCAAGGCTAAAAAGGGTCCTGTGTCCACCAGCAGGTCCTCCTCTCCCCTTCTCCCCCCCCCCCATGATGGGATTGGAGATGATACCCATAGACAAGAAGAACCATTTCTAGTTGTATTCTTTTTTATTGCAGTAACAATGGTTTACAACATTGTATGTGATTTGAGAGTACAGGCTCACAACTCTGTACCTGTGTAAGACCAAACCTGGCTGCCCTGGTGGCTCAAGGGGTTTAGGTGCAGCGCTGTGAAGCTGTCGCACCCACTGCAGCGCAAAGGAGGGAGGTGACCCACATGGTGCCGCCCCTCCTGTCTCATTGCTGCTCCCCTCAGCAATGGGAAGGATTCTCCTCCCCACTCTGTCTCTAGGGAATCCTCTCACCCTCTGCATCTCTGGCCTGTACCCCAGTTCTTGTATGCATAAATAAGTAAATCTTTAATAAAAATAAATATCATACCAAGCCCACCACCAAACACCCATCATCCTCCACCATAGAGAACCATATCTTAAGAAATTTATAGTCTTCAATATTACTTAGAAAATAAATGGCATATATATATATGTATGTATATAATAGGTAAATAGAAGATGTGTATGTGTATGTGTGTCTTGTCATTTTCCCCACTAGCAACATGATAGTGGCATTTCAAAAGCACACAGAAACTCCTAAAGCACATCAGAGGTCACTTCCCAGCCCTTCATACACCCTGGGCCCTGGCATTATTTGAGTCCTTTGAAATAGCAACCCAGACTCACAGCAATCCCGAGCAGAGCAGGAAGGGTCTGATAATCCACAACTCAGAGCTAATGGCTCCTTAAGAGGTGTGTGGGGGTAAGGGGAAAGGATTATGGTCTGTGTGCCCTGGACCCTGCTAGCTCTCCATCCTCGTCTGCCATATTTGCCAAATTGAGGCCCCAGAAGTCAGTGAATCATCCAGGGTCATGCAGCTTGTGTGCCTTTGGGAATGCTGTCAAGGGCAAGATCCTGGTGGGGGGAAACTGGAAAGAAGAAAGAGCCAGGAGTCAAAGCGAGGAGGGCTAAAGAGGGCAGGACAGGGGCTGCAGTGACCCTGGAAAGAGAAACACAGGGGAGTGGAGACAGCAGAGAGGGGGGCGGCAGGAACCTCAAACAAGAGAAAAAATAGAACATGGGAGTTGGAATAAGAAGGTGGAGGGAGAGGAAGGGAAAAGGAGACAGGACAGCCGGCAGCCGAAGTGACAGGGCCTCAGAAAATCACCTGCTCACACTCCGCCTTCTGAACCGGAGAAATGACAGCCCAGCTCCTGGAGGTTGCCAGGCCTCATCCTGAGTGCGGCTACTATTCTCCTCTGCCAGAAATTGGTTTGAAACCAAAAGTCTTGGGTGTACCAGAGGCTGAGAAGGAGAAAAAATATTATTTTATTTTTGTAATAGGTAACATGCACATTGTTCAAATCTCAAAAAATACAAAAGGGGAAAGAGCTGTCCAGTTCCCCTTCCAGAAGCTCCCCCCATTACTATCTAGAGATAGTCTAAGCAGATATAAGCACAAAGGTGGATATGTTCTTTTAAAAAATTTACGGACAGTATCATACTAAAAACAGTGTAGTTCTCTCTTATTGTTTGTAGTTTTTTGTTCCCTAAATCTATTGTATACTCATGTATATAGAGCTATCTTGTTTATTTTTTTTTTATTTAGATTTATTTATTTATGCACACAGAACAGGTTACAAGCCAGATGTTCAGGGGCGGTGAGAGGCTTCACCAGAGACAGAGTGGGGAGCAGAACAGGCCTACTGACGAAGTACACTGCTGAGAGGAGCAGCAGGCACGTCAGGAGAGGTCTGCCACGCCATGTGGATCACCCCTGGGGCCCAGGAATCGTGCTCTCATTGAAGCAGCTGTGGCCAGCTTGCAGGGCTGCCTCCTAACCCATTGCACCACCAGCAAGGGTCCATGTCTTGTTCCTTTTAAATGACTGTATAGCAGGCCACTGGCTGGACTGTGATATTTTTAAATCATGAGAGGCCTCATTCATATAAAAGAGTGCATTAAAAAATATGCACAGCTTAAAGAATGATTGTAAAGCTAACATTTA